GAAAGTACTAGAATATTTACTATCAGTCTATGGAAAGAACTCGTGGGAACGTTGTTTAGAAAATGATCAAGTGGTTATAACTCTGGTTTTCCCACAGTAAATTGTAGGAAATAATAGAAATTCAGATTGTTTATCCATATATTTAATATACGGTGCACGATATTTTCTCTGGAAACACAATACTTTTCTTGCTGCGTTGCACTTTATTAAGTAACAGTTATTTAGCTATATATTTATAGAAAACAACAACACAAAAAACGGAAAAAAAAAGAAAGAAGGAATAAAGAATTCGGTAGGACTCGAACCCTGCACCTTCGGCTCGACGCGACTACACCTTACCACTACACCACAGAGGCTGATTACGTAACTTTGTAGGAAAAGTCTTGATTTTATTCCTCTTCCATGAAACTTCCGCAAAAACAATGTAAACGCATATTCCATAACAATGAAAGAATGAAAGAACATAATTATGCTTTTCAAAACGCCGATACACGTCCTCGTCTGCAAAGTGGGACACAAAACATATGTTTTGTTATCTCGATTTCCGCTGTTATTTTGAAGCGAATGGTCAAAATCACATCCATTTTCGGCTCATACAGTTTCTTAAGAATAGCACTGCATGACATTTTCTCACTTTCACATCACCTTCTAGCAAGCTGGAATTTGTATATTCCCCGTGTTGCGGAGTCGAAGAGCAAATGCTCATCTTCTCGTCAGGTTTAACACCTGGACGAGTCAAAGGCTCTTGAATTGAAATCTAATCCCCAAGTTAACCATCGTACTCATCTGAAAGACTCCTGCGTGTCTTAAAATGTGGTAAGACCTCCAAGTCTGAGCAGCGAACGATGCACTCTCCCACCCAACGAACTTCACCGTGTTTTTCTTTGAGTTGTTCGTGGCGCAATGCACTCTGGTTAAATGCAATGCATTGTGGTAAAAAGTGTGGTTAAATGCAATGCATTGTGGTAAAAAGTGATGAATTCGAGAATTCGTTCCCCCTTATATATTTCCTTTAAATCCTGATTATGTTGCTGCTCGCTCCCTTCGGTCGCTCCGCAGCAATTAGGTACGAAAACTTTTTCCCGTCGTCTTTGCGACGGATGACAAGGATAGAGATAGATTTAAACTTGAAAAAGTTGGGCTACCTTTTTCAAGTCGTGCTTTGCCAGCAAAAATTAACAGAAAAATATTATGGTCAGTGTTCGCTGTTGAAATTTGTTTGACATCTTCTTTATGACTCTAAGGGACACGACAGGAGCATTTTCTGTATGGGTAAGGGAACTAATAATGACTTTAGCACAAAACGGACCTAAACAGCAATATCCTTGTAACATTATCCTCCTTTAAAACAGACTTACTTTGCACGGTTGAATTTCAAGTCTCTTCCTTCGATAACAACGACTCACTGTCTTTCATGTCACCACTGTTTAAGGAACATTGCAATCCCACTTCTTTGTTGTTCTTTACCATATCGACTGAGTCCTGCGGGTCGCTCAGGTGTGAATCTGTCTTCTGTGTGGCGACAGTTTCTAACATTAGATATAAGAACTTACAGTCAGTGATTAACAGTCTCAAAACGAGACCTCAACGACTCTGACAATGACGACTTTTGGTTAGAAATTCGGCAAATTCGTCTTCGGAGAGCCGTGAACTCTTTAGCCGGTTTGTCTGAGTTCATTAATGCATAAACAGCTAGGCTGCGCGCCACTGCCTGGAAACGAGGTTGCGATCGTATCGATTGTATTTTGCCTGCATCTTCCAAATATGGTCAGCGCCGGCACAGTTATGAAGAATTAGCTGGGGGAATAATAATTTAAGCTTTTTAAAATTAAAACATTATTATTTAATCAAAATATTTGAACTTTTGTTAAGGTTATAATTATCTGCTAACCGAACGTCGTGTCTTCCAGTTGGCATGGGACTGAAATAAAACTCGCGATGAAACAATTTTAATCACTCTTATGATTAAATACCGTATAGCACAGCGTAAAAATGACGTCTCAGTGAGTAACTTGCAATGTTCGTCTGACTTTAGCCATTTTTGTCATTTTGTCAGGCCAACATGACTTTACAAATGACAAAACATGAACAAATATCACGAATTCGCTAATGTTAATTTCAATTTGTTTTTGCTTGTCTAAGTTTCAGTTCCATAAATAGTTCCTGTGCGCAGTGCTATTGGACTCTACTCAGCCCTATTGTCATTATTAATCAGATCTGTTAAGTTATGTACTTAGGTAAATGTTTGGGAAGAGAAACCGCATTGGCGCGAACACCTCACTAAACACCATACTCAAAGTGGACATTATACTGGTCAAGAGGTCTTTCTCGCTTTTCATTTTCTCCTATCAACTCTCCATATCTCTGTCTCTTTAAGGCCGGGCATCTTGAGCTGGAAGATCCTTACGTGTGTGGCTCAGATAGACTTCTTTTAACATCAGGATAATCAGTAAATTGAGTCACACAAAACCTGCTCTCACCTTTCTCCCTGAATGAATGACAATACTTGGTTGCCAATTCTGATTTTCCTACAATAGGGTGCTGTAAAGCTTGAGCCAGGCACTCATACGATGCGGCGGGTCCGACTGTTTGTATCCACTTGTTTAAAACAGCTGTAAATTGGACAGTGTGTTGAAAAGAGCTGTTTAGCGTTAATGTATAGGGAGCAAGGTAGAAGCCTTGTTCACTACACAGTTTTCTTACTACACTACACAGTTTTCATTACAACGAAAAAGGACCGCTTGAAATGATCGAGAAAAATATAACGTTTCTTGGCAAAATCCAACGGTAGGTAAAAATTCTACTCGTTCACAGATGCATAGTTGACTGACAGTACGTTTGGACATCTTCCACATTTCTGAATGTTGAATGCCTGGATGGTAAAATATGATCAATAACTGGCCAACTGATTCTAGAAACTAAGTTTCTACATATCGAAAATAATTCTATACCAGTTTGCTGCTGCCTATACTGACAATGTTAAAATCAAGTGGGAGAATTTTGCACAGTTCCCTGTGTTCCAAATAAAGGGTTCAATCGTCTGTCTTTTTTCTTTCCTCATTCTTGTCTTCCAATGAGTTATTCCTGCTACCTTGCAAGAAAACAGTCCATATCAAAGCGAAAGTAAAAATTGCGCACAGGAGCAAAATAATTACAAAAAGTGAGAACTGAAACCTTTTTACTTCAGTTTATTAACCGAGCCTCATCACCCTATTTAGTCTGTAATCATACTTATGTAATGGGATCTATCAACCCATCTTATTATTATTTATTCTGTACACACCGTAGCACCTTTCAGGCAGATGGTGCTCGTCCTCCTCGATCTGTTCTAAAACAGGATTAGGAAGGCACAGGATTCGACCAAGCATCTTCCAGGATTTACCAAGCTCTGAAGCAACGAGGAGAATGTCACTGGACGATGGTACGCCAGACTTGAAAGACATGGCACGATCCACGACTACGTCGTCTTCTACTGACGTACTTGCTGCGAAGCTACCAACAATGCGAGGATCCAAGACAGGAGAAGCTGTTTCAAAGCAACAAATCTGATTCACAAATTTATCATACACATCTTCAATAACACATGGGCGTCCAAAATGATGGTAGCTTAAGCCCATCAGGCCTAGGTCTAGAATACTTGTGATTGTTTCATACAGTTGATAAAAGCTAATAAGAAATCACGTAAATAAAATAGAGGCACGATAAAAAGTGCTGAGCTTAAACGACAAGTTGAGTGAGGTTCAACTTTTATGTTTACGCGTGACCTTTCATGCATTGAATCTATGTTATTTGCGAAAGTAAAATTAACGCACGTACGCACGTAGAAATTAAGCGACACTGGAAATCAACCCTTAGTAACTCGAACCCTCCAATAAAAACTGCCGCCCACTTAGCTTAGTAAGAAGAGCGCCCGACACTTTAGCTGTAGGTAGAGGTCGCAGCGGGTTCAAAACCCGGCTGGACCACGAGCCAGGCGTGACTTTAAAAAAAGTAAGACCATGCTGGCTGTGTTTTAAGACTTTTGACTCGTATCAGATGATTCTCTCCCTTTCTTATTCAAAACCAGGGCTAAGAACTCATGCAATATTTAAAGGAATAGCCAACGTAGAGCAACCTGGCTGTCATATGTACCTCGAGAAACAATCAGGTCAATCGACTTCTGTTCAATAGCAAATCGAAGCCGAAGCAGTAAAATTCAAATGTACAAATACCATACCTTTCGCTGTCCCGTTTTCCATTTTTGCTTCATCGGCCTGTCAGAAGACAAGTCATCGTATTTTAAAGCAGAATAACACAAGAAAAAAGGGTTTAACAGAAAACGCATGCTGGCAGTGAATTAAATGTGGTTCCACACAATAAATCACATTCCTTGGAAACTTACAGGCGTCGAGATCAAACGCTGAAATTGAAACTAAATTGAGCGAGCTTGAACGTCCGAATTAGTTCCACATTTGGCACAACAGAACACAGCAGACCGTATCAGGATTTTATGTCTTCTCTCCGCCTACTTTGGAGGAACATAAGGGCGTGGACCCACCATTTTTTTTTTCTAGCATATGAAGTTCAACTTTTGTACTAGACCAACTCTTTAAATCATCCACTTTAGGAGTATCTACGGCGAGTTTCCATGCTTGAAACCTTTAGTTTGACCCCAGTAGGCAAAATCCTAACGCGTCAAATTTTATAACTCTTCTCCTGCGAATTCAAAGCAATTGTCGGGCACAGACAGGTTACACGGACCTTCAGTAACGTGTTATTGTGTTTGTCAATCTCGTAAAGCAAATTAGATACAATGGAGCCCATTACTGCGTTTGACGAAGGAGAACGCCATCTTAATCAAGACAAACTTGGAGTAACAAACCATGATTCGTTATGAAGTCGAGCGCTTGACTGGTTATCGTAAGAAGGAGCTGCGTGCATGTGCAATTAGTTTCACTGCCGTATTTCTCGTATTTCGGTTCGGGGTACATGCATGCCTTTTACTGAATAAGTAAAAAAGGCTAGATATAGTCCTTTACCTTAGTGAGATGAAACCATTTCTCCAATCCATGAACGTTCACTGTGTTATCACAGAAACTTCTCAAACACAACAGCTCCTCCCTTGGTAGTACCTGCAGAAGATGCTGACAATCGTCGTGATCACAGGATACTAAGCCGTGCTTTCTACACTGCTCACTGCTTTGCAAGCAAGAGGTGCATAAGACACATAGTTCATAGCGAAGGTTGTATAACCAGGATAGTTCACGAGACAAACTTTGCAAAGTTTCTTCTAGAGAGTCTCGAACCTTATTAGCCATCAATCGAGTAGCACATGTTCCGGCCGAAGAATTGGAAGTAGTTTTTTTCTTTAACAAGACCTTGATGAACCTCTTTCTGCAGAGAAGAATAAGCTCAAAAATGTCATGCACACCGATGAGAAGCCTTGCGCCATTTTGGAATAACTGGGGTGGTCCTTTTAACCTCTGTTTTGAACACCAGTGAATAAATTTTGACAAAAGCAGAGGGAAGAAACCGTTAGGAACAAAGCCGTCAAGAAAGTGAAGGTACAACGGACATGGATCGCTTTCAGAAGGCTTCAATTCGCAGAGACCTGACGGAGATGATCTTAGCTGAGAGGGAACAAAGAACTCAGTTTGCTCCTGTCCGCTTTCTGCAGATGAACAAGACAATTTGGTGATCAATCCATAGACCTCCATCATGTCCAAAATATCCTGCTTACTCAGGCCTTTCTGGATGAATTCTGAAAAAATGTGATCAACCAGAGCCATCCTTAGAATGCCGCTTTGCTCAAGCTCAAGCCAGCACTCTGAAAACAGAGGATCCTAAATACAAAGAAAAAAGATGTTTAATTTATACAACTCGTCTAAAATAAAAAAAAAGCAACAAGAACAAACAAACAGGCAAAGAAACAAAAAAATTGGCCATGCTACGTTTAGACAAGAATGGGCCAAAGCAAACAATGTTGTCATTAATAGTAAACGACGATCTCTTTTTTTTTGAGACGCTGAGGGTTTGCGAAGATTTCGCAAAAGATACGGCATTCTCAATAATAATAGAACAAAACAATCTTGCGGATTTTTTGACCGTGTTAAACATTCATAAACGGAATGATAAACATTAGCGTCGAGTAAGGTCTAAATTGATCCCATCGGCCTAAACATCTTGGACACCTTATGAAACTTACACAACGTAGTATGTTTTATTGCTTCTAGACTACACTTAGATGAAATTTCTAAGTTTCTTGACATTTCTGCTCAGGAAATGTTCATGAAAGTGAAAGTCTCTTCAATTTTTAAGGGAAAAAAATTCAGAAGAGCGCGAGTAAGAATCGAACCCGGAGCTTAGTGTCTGCAGTCTATCACCTATACCACTACGCCACTGAGGATTTGCTGGCAAGCATTGATTTGATTTGAAGCTATATAGCAACAACCCTAACCCTAAATAGAAGCTAACCGTTTGGAGTCAGTGCTTAACCATAATTACTATTTTCAGTGCTTCACCCTAATCAGTATTGTTGCTTAACCTTAATCACAATACCGAAGCGATAAGGAATCCTAGGTTGTGCAAACTTCATAAGGTGTCTAAGGGGGTTTAGGCCGATGGGTCTAATGCTTACCGTCTAAATTCGTCACTTATGAAACTAGAGTGAGACTGGATCGAACGAACTTTCGCAAAGACGTCTGGGAATGTTACTGGGGACAGGGGGAAAATAGCCAATAGCTGACCGGCGAGTCTCCACCAACGATCCCAGAAACAACTGCGAGAGGCATTTCGGCTCCAGTTCCGTTCTTGTTTCTCAAGGGGCAAATGGAAATGATACCACTGGATGGAGTTACATTTCACCATTCTTCTTTCAAAAGTCAACTCTACTTCGCTGTGTAACAAGTGCGTTCAGAATTTCCTCTTATTGTTACATAAGAGTTTGTTTTTCATTCATTTTCCTGCTAATATGAATTATCTATTTTAGCTCCGGTCCTCTTCCTATGATCTTCGTGGCAAATACATTCTTTCATTTAGTAAACCTAATACAACTATCAGAAAGATCTTAACTCCTTTTCTTACTTTTCAGCTAGGCAGTGGAATGCACTGCCAGACTTTTTTCGTACTAGCTTTTTGCAGCCGGACTTTAAAAATAAAATGCAGATGCAGGGTGTTACCTTAATGTAGATTCTTTTGCTTGTACATACTTATACTTAAAATTGTAAATAATATTTTTCTATTATTATTATTATTCATAATGCATTTAAAATATTTTTCTTTTTTATGTAGTGTCAGCTCGAAGATATTAGCTTGTTGCCTACTCTACATTCGAGTATAAAAAAAGTTTTTGTTATGTTATGTTATGTCAGTGTAACAAAAACATCAAAGCTATAAGAATCACTTTAAAGTTTGTATTGTAATTTCGTTTTTCAACAGACATAACTTACAACTTCATCAAAAGGCCGCACAGTTATCAGTTGTTTGAAAAGATCGATCAACCACTGCGCCTGCAATACCACAGTCTGGCCGTGTTTAACAATCACGCCAAGGTCGTGATAGAAATTCAGCATGGCTGTCAACTCATCCTCGTCAGAGATGCGGCAAACCTGTCTTGTGACAGTCAGGAGCTGATTTAGATCCATGTAGTAGGTTCCCTTGGCCACTAATGCTTCTACAACTTTTTCGAAGTTAAACCATCTGAGGAATGGACCATGCAAACTTTTACACGTCATCTGCTTTTACACCCTCCAAGAAACATGAAAAAAACTGCTATTTCTCGTAAAGTGCCTAAAGACAGTTAATGAAATTAAATAATATTTTCTAAATTTGAGAAAGCCCCTACTACTTCGATTTCCAAGAATTAATTAAGATTTTTGCCGTTGACAGCTAAGAATAAGAAAGAATTTAATGGCTTTAACTAGATTTAGTGCAGCTTCCGCTTACGCTATCATCACGTTACCACAGACTACTGGTAGTTCTTTTGTTTTCAAGTGCTTGAGTAAACAGGCCTTGAAAAAGGTTGGTATAACATTTTAAAGGAAATACGGCAGCATTTTACCTCAGCGGTACCTCCTCTCCCATGTAAGGCTCTTGATTCAAAACTTCCACGATTTTCCGGCGTAGTTCTTGAACCCCTCCATCTTTGTTCGACTTGGTGTTATCAACAGCAAAGAATGGCCTGATCACGTGCTTCTCGTATGTTTTGCCCGAGACACTCTTCTGGATGCACTTTTCCGTGGCCCTGGGATCTTCAAACGGTTGATCGGCATTTGTACCCACAATGATCACTGGAGGACGTAGGTAAGGTACACTCGTCGCTTGGCTATCGAGGTCTTTGCTCACTCGATCCGCTTGGGGCACAATGGCGTGCACAGATACCAACCAAGACAAAAGATGATCTAGATTGGTCTCATTGTTTGGGTTGTCCAGAACAACATCATGAGTGCCTTGCCTGACACGAGGTTCTGCTTTGGCACATATACTTTTGTGGAGGTTGTACACTAAGATGTAAATTGCACGCCGGGAAAGAAACACAGAATGGGATGCATAGTAAAGGTGCTGACCTGCAAAATCCCAGAGCGTTAAAACCACTTCCTTCACTTTGATGTCGTCTTCTAATTTCAGATTCTTTAGGTACCGGACAACCAATTCGGTAACGTCATTTGGTACGACTGAGGTGCTGCCGATATTGAGCTCAGCTTGATAGCTATTTTCTAGATCACTATCGTCAGAAGATTCCTCTTCCATCTCCTTAACCATGATAGTATCTGGCGTTGACTCAGTAGCAGTAGCAGCAGCAGCAACAGCAGCATTAGGCAGGTTGTTATGCAGTAACTACAATGAATGTAAACCGCGGTAGTTAAAGATTGTTCTACTCACATATATGACGAAAAGTCCCGGAGTACGTTGTAGTAGACATGTTCATAAATACTCTACCATCTAATTTGTAGCTGACTACAAAGATGATCTTCTGAACATTGCAAACTTAATTTCTTTAAAGATGTCAGTAGAACACCGACTCGGTTTTTTCAGTTTTGGCAAAAATAATTGGTATGCGAATTTGAATCCGCAACTTTTTCTTTCCGGATTCAAAAATTTCCATGTCCACAAGTATCCGCATTCAAATCGGATTTACCCGTCCACACGTATCCGGATTCACTTTAGTACCCAAGACTCCACTGGGAATATTGGCAACAGAGCATGCGTCGTAAAGCGCCCGAACTTTGCATCTTACCTTACATTGAGAGAATCTGGGAACAAGCTTGCCATCTTGAATACAGTATTCAAGGTAAAGACCTGGCTCGATCTTGTTACGTCACCGGATGAAAAAATTTTTATATATCCGGATTTAGCGAACACACGATTCCGGATTCATACCGCATTCAAAAACTTCCACTCTGGAGAGCGGATTAGTATCCCGGATGCATCTGATACGTGTGGACCGAGGCCGTATCCGGAAAGAAAAAGGTGCGGATTCAAAAATATCCGGATACGAGTAGACGTGGCCTTAGTCACAAGCAATTGACGAAAGTTATTATTATTTTTTTACTGCTTAACAACTATTATAATACATTAAAGCAAAATCACTCTTTATTTAATGCTACTTCTTTCATCTAGGCAGTAAACCTCGTAATGGAATTTTTAAGCGTATTTTAGATGATTCGCATGAAAAGAACACTACCTCCTTTTGTGAAGGTGAACCCGCAGTCGAAACCTTTTCTTGATCAACTGTGTCATCCAAATCTCTGGCGACTAACTTTGCCACGTCTTCAGCAAAATCAGAGACATTTTCGTGATCAACTGTTTGGTTCAAATCTCTGGCGACTAACTTTGCCATGTCTTCAGCAAAATCAGAGACATCAAACTTCTTCCGTTCTGTAGGTTCCCAGTTCTTTATTTGAGCAACTTCCAGTTCACATCTGGAAGGATCAACTTCCACTCCTATTGTGCTGTTTTCTTGAGGGTCAAACGGCAAACCAAGCAGGGATTTCTTCAAGCTTGTCTTGCCAGCACGGTCTTGACCAAGGATCATGATGCGCCCGCGGTATACTTTGACTTTCCCAATCTGCAAAGCTCTTTCGTAAGCACGCTGAGCCCTAGGTCCTCGGGCAAGAATCTCTGGTGGCACTGATGAATCTGTGGAACGAAAATGCCTTTTAAAATTTTAAATTTCTTTTTGTTTGTTACACAAGTAAAAATACTGGCATAAGAATGCAAAGTCGGGTGATTTGCATGTTTCCCCACAATTTGAAATTACGGATGCATCACTTACTGTACTTGATCATGAAATCATTCGGGCATTACTAGTCAAGAAACTAATGCAATAACACAGGTCCTGTGTGTGACTTATTCCCTTCAGAGATGCGTCGTTGCTATGGAGGGTTTTCACGCACGTCTATGCTAATTTATTCGGACAAAAAAAAGGGTTTATATAAAACAAGAGTTCAGCTCGCAGAGGATTGGTTTGGACACCAACAAGGCTGCCTTTTATCGTTTTGTAACACCAAAAAAGCACTCTATAAGAGATATTTGCTTTAAATTCGAAGAAAGATCATACATTGAACTAATAACACGAAAGATTTATTTTCATTGCTACGCATTTTGTCCTCGCACCTTCTGTTAGCTCAGAGACAGGAACTTCCTTCACATTTTCTGCTGTGAAAAACCCAACTTCCTTGCTTTGTGTTTCACCAAGCCATACATTCTTTTCTTCTCTTAAAATATACATACACAGAAAAAATATTTACATCAGTAAAACTAAACAACTTCGTCTTCATTTGGTGGTGTTCATTCCTTCACAACGCGATAATTTTCAGGATAGGAGAAAGTTAGAAAATACAATCACAGTTTGTCTTTCATAGGTATGTTTTATCTGTTAAAAACTCATGGCTTTTATGTCCAAATCAGTTTAAACAAAAACACAAGGACTTGTCCGAAGTGATATCAAAGAAAACAAAAACTAGTGATTTTATGACGAATTGGAGCAAACCTGTGACGGTCCTTGGAAATGAGAGTTATCAATTCCCCCGTCTCGCCTCTAAGAAACCCCGTTGATTCTGCACTGAAGCTTCTTTTCACTTTGACTTTTAAAGGATTTTCCTGAATAAATTAAACATTCAAGTAAAAGCAAATATTGAGAAATGCTGTATATCCTCAAATCTACTTTAAAATGTACTGTCAAATAATACTATGTACATTGTGAATGCATAGTTAAGTTGTGTCTTACAGTGTTTTTTTTTTTTTGCGCTAAAAGGGGTTTTCTTGTTATGACTTCGATTCTTTTGGTTCTTCTTGTATTTTACTAGCTACATAAGAGAAGAACACATCTGACTTACTATCGCCATAAGAGATTGACTGATCTCAGAGAAGGACGGTCTCTCTTTGGGGTTGTCTCGTAGACAACGATCAAACACTTCACAGAAGTGCGAGGGGCAGAGATAACCATGCTTACTTCGAAGGTTTTGAGATGTATCCTAAAAGGTTGGAAAAAAAAGAAAAAGAAAAAAAGAAGGATTAACAGTAACGGTGGTCATAGCCGAGACCCTTTGTAGTTAGCGCACAGCTATGGGGCCTAGGATCAAAACCGTATCCTTGCAATATGACGCGCATGCTCAAAAATGATCTTCCTCGATTCATTTATATACAGAGTCTTTCTCGAGTACGCAAAATTGAGAGAGCGCAGGGGCGGATCCAGGATTTTTCTCAGGAGGGGGTGGACCACTAAGAAACTACAAATTTAACTACCATTTTCACGGCGTTTAACATAAATTTTCAACCTCGTCCCATGTTCTACTTCAACCGACAGAATACCAGTTGTATTAGAAAGCTTAAAGTCATCTCGGGGGGAGGTGGAGGGGCGTGTGCACCCCCTGGACTCTTCCCCTAGATCCACCCCTGAAGCGAAAGAAAGGCTTTGCTGGCAGAATGTCCTTTGGGATGATCCGCGATCAGGATTCATGATCCAACACCACTGCGATCTCAACGCATCAAAGGAACCGGTAAATCGAATCTGGACAAAGGAATATATAACGCTCAGTTTTCTGGTCTTCATGACTGATACTACCATATTTGGATCAAAAACTTACCATAACAGCCTCAGCTGCTTCAAATCCAGGCGCTTGGTTCTGATAATTGATAAAAGCGGTTGAAAATAGCTTTGCAAAAAAGTAAACCACTTCCTCAGGCACAGAATATGGACTTCCTGACTCGCGTTTCCTGCAAAATTGAATAGGCAATTGAATTTACAATTCCTTTTAACCGTTGAGCCTAGAGATCGTTTGCAAATGACGATACGGGCGGCCATATTGGTGTACAATACATTGAACGGGCGGCCATGTTGGTGCACCAAAAAAAATTCTTTGGGGATTGAAGGAGCAGTGGTATGGAACGTTTCAATCTTATATGGATTGAAACTATGATTTGCCATTGTTCACGCATGAATAAACCCGTTAATCAAACTAATCGGTTTAAAATGGTCCCTTTGCATGTATGAATACCATCATACTAACAAATGCTAAATGTAACAAATGCTTCCTTTTTAACCCAAAGTTGTTCAATAGGCGGAAAACGTTGTCCATTGGACAAATCTCTTTCCAGTGGAGAACACAATTGGTTTCCCAAATACTTAATCACTGGATAGTGATTTATCCGTTGGATAGTGAACAACCCGGGTCTGTTATCATTATCAAAACTAAGAATATGAGATGTTTATAAGCACCAAACTGGAGAGATTAGAAATTATTAAACATATACCTTACTAAACTCCAAACTATCTTAGTTCTAAATTTGAAAGGCGAGAAGTATATAACCTTACTAAAATAAACAATATTCCATTAACGCTTTACAAAAACAGCTCCTCGCGTCGTTTAACTTAAGAAACTCCCTTGGGCAATTTAAACGATTACCAAACCTCCTCGCGTCGTTTAGAAACTCACAATACCCAATACCAGCAAGCTTCAGCTAATCAGAAAAAAAACAATAATTTTACAGCACTTACTAGCACCAACTGTGCGACCCAGAAAAATTGTCCCCGGGCAGAAGATTACTCGCCGATCCGAGCTAACGTTTCATACATTTCCTTACAAAACGTGGCGACGAACCGTTTACACGAGAAAAAAAAGGATGGTTCGGCTAGAAGGGTACCGGGGTAACCCTTTTCTGATGGTAGGATCACCCTCAAAGCCAGGCCTACTTTTCTCTGTAAACACTTTGGCACGCCCGGCCAGGTCAACTCAGTCAAGGCGAGAAAAGCAGAGCATTCGCGAGCGCTGTTGGCTCGGGCAAGGGACCCGGATCAATTTTTTGGTATAAATGCTCTTTATAGTTGACTCGGCTGGAAGGGTAAAACCTTCTTGCCGGGACAGATTCTCTCTTCAACGGGGCCTGAGACACGGCCATATTTGTGGGATCAAAAGTCGTGCTACCAATATCAGAGCTACAAATAACAGTGGGTTATCGGATATTGTCTGACTAAACAATGTGTCTTCGATTAAGCCCGACAAGTCAACCTCTATAACATAAGCAAAGAAGTTCTGAGATTACCTGATAATCAGAAACTACCATGCAGTAAAGCTGGAGTAACTGATGAACGACGTTCTTCGACTCAAGGTATTCTAACGCGGACGCAGCCTGAACCGTGAATCTACAAAGCCGTTCTACACTGTGGTGTTCGGACGCTTTGTCAAGGTTTCCATACTCGGCAAATTCCTCCACCTTTGGGTGACAGTAAATACAATAATCTATCAGTCCTAATAAAGCAGTCACAAAGAAGCCGGCCGTGTTCTTTAAATTTACAAGGGACATGTGGTTACAACATCGGCAAGATAAAAAATACACTACTATTTCTATTTTTTATTTTCTCAGAACAGGTGTTGAGGGCTGTTCTGTGCTAAGTCGCGTCTTATTTCAGACGAACTGTGCCGTTTACACGGGACAGTTTGCGTCTTATTTTTCCTCGTATAAATGGCCCTAATGTAAACATTCATAAATCTAGCGATAACTGCATCTTTACCTACAATTCAATGTAAAATATTGTTTAGACAATTTCGATTAACAGTCAGTCGCGAAAACAACAGTAACTGTAACGAATCAAAATACATAGGATGTTGTTTGCAACTGACTGAAAGCAGGCTAATAAAGTAATTCAACAGTCAAACTTTCTTTGAATAGAACATGAAGGAACCAAGAAAAAAAGCCCTCCTTTATGATGGAAGGCTTAAACACGGGCAAAGAAAGCAGGACATGGAGGACTGTTTCGCACAGAAAAACGTCGCCATCCATATCCTTCCTTTCTCACTGCCCGTTAAATTTTTTTCTTTATTATTACTTTTTGATGTAAAAGGCAGGAATACTTACTAAAGCCACGTACGGTGAATATGAGCTGGCAATGACCACTCCATGAAAATCGAGGATGTACTTGTGACGGAAACTATTCGCCATTTCTGCTTCATGTAAGAATAGTTGCTTTTCAGTTTCTCCATAACGAAGACACACTTTTTCCTAGAGAGAGAAAACGCCATTTAAGCTTCAGAATGCGCAGCGGTAAATCCCCCTCCCCCCTTCCCCCTGTACGCAAAAGGAGCTTGCGCGTATACACAAATGCAAAATAAAACCAACGAAAATTGCACGTACCGTCAACTTTAAAAATTAGCACTGGTATGGCATTTCATGTATGCACCGTGTTCTATTTTCTTGAATATCTAGTGCCCCTGTGTTTGAGGTTGACAGGTGTAAAGGGATCACGAATGCGCAGTTAACAACCAAATTCACCATCAACTTTGTATACAGTCGAATGAATTCTTTACCAAAAAGTAGATACAGATCTTTCCGGACATATTCTAGAAAGAGATTCCTTTAGTATGATTCTTGTTCTTCGCATTTTGGGTGAACGCTTACGGGAGGATCGACTGATTTGACAAATTGCAAAGATGACACAAAATTCCCCCCAAAAACTCATTGCCCAGCCGATGCTCCAGAGAAAAAGTCGTACCCATAATAATCCTTACGAGTACATAAAAACCCTCTATAGAGCAAACCTTTATTCCACCAGGCTTTGTCCACTCTGCTTCGCATACATATCCAGCCATTTGGCCACAAGTTATGGTTCGTGTAACAACAATGTCTTGTTTTCTGATCACCGGTATTTGTTTCATTTGACATGTTTTCACAACATTACTTTGCTGGTATTTCTGCAAATGCATCAATTATCAAGAGATAAATAAATCGAAATTTATGTAGCAGCTCTCTTAGGGTGGATTTCCACTGTGGCATAATTTGTACGAGCGTATGCACGCAGAATTTATGCGCGTAAATAAAATGGAGGCAACGTATGGGAGATGCGTGTAAACGTGAGCCACTCGCCTCAACATGCATGGGTCAGCATTAAAAAAACAATGCACTTTTTTATTTGAGTGTCAATGTATTTAGCACGAAAATACTAATTGGGGACACTATTTTTACGTCTCCTGATGGAGACGGGACCGCCATTTTACGTGGTCATCCGAGCCACGCGAAGGTCTCGCCGCTTGCAGTGCAAAGGAAGTACCTTCATTTCTCAGTCATTTTAAGACGCTGAGTAATGGTCCGGCCCCGGGAATCGAACCCGCGACCTCCCGCTCTGCAGTCAAACGCTCAACCGACTGAGCTAATCTCGCTACGGTAGATCCCATCGGCGGTAGCCCCTTTCTCCCATCATGAAATTTACACAAGGTAGAACTGTTTTCTGCTCTTATATCACACTTCGGTGATATTTCAAGCCGGATATGTTCATGAAAGTGCAAGTCTCTTCAATTTGAAAGAAAAAAAAACGGAGGTAGTAATAACCTAAGTCGATATAGCATCAACCCCAACCCAAAAAAAGAAGCTAACCAGTTTCGAAACAGTGCTTGACCCTAATCAGTAAAGGCAGTGCCTAGCCCTAAAAAGTAAAAGGGAAAGCTACGATTTGTAAATTTAATGAGGTGCCCCAAGGGGCTACGATCGATGGGATCTAGTGATCCTCCCCCCCCCCCCCCCCTGGGGGGGCCATGAGTAATATACAATTGCAGTTCACAGTTTCCGACACCTTTTATCCTTTAAAAGATCTTGCGAAGTTTGTCAAAAGGTGCCTTTCCTCACAAGCGTCATGGTTCCTTCTTGGGAATCGACAATCAAAAAACATCTATTCAGTGATCACCTTTTTTACGCGATTCGGGTGAGACAAGGTGTAGACAAAGCATAAGCAGTCACTCAACTTTCACGCAAAATCGTGGAAGTATTTAATAATCACAAGTAACAATGTAAATAAGATTTTTTTTACGTGCAAGCGTTTTTCTCGATGTACACAAAACTACCACAGTCAAACCTGTGATGTTATACCCCTAATGAACCTAGTGGAAGCTCGAGAGCGAATCCAAGAACGTTTACCACAGGTTGACTATCAACTACCACATGTTTGACCAACCTAATGAAAAAATAAAGATGGTGAGCGGATATTCATAACACGACAAAATTGACCCTCAGATTTTTTCTACCTCTTCTTGCACCAAAAGAAAAAAAAAGATCACTGAATGCTATGCAGAGTATATTTCTGCACTTGTGCTATATCTTACAAAGAAACCGTTCAATAGAGGGTGAAAACAATGAAAAAATAACTCGTTGGGACCACGGAACCCGAGACCGCAACCACTTTTAATAACCACAATTAATAACTGTAATTAAAAATGATTCTGGGAACTTGGGGCGGTGATCCCTAAATAGGTGATGGACTGCTTTCTAATGCAAGTCAACAATTCAGGTTTGATGGTAGTAAGGAAAAGAAAAATTTATATCAACTGCAAAAAATTTGCCTGTGCTGACCGTGGTGAATTAAACCGCTACTTTGTCAAATCAAACTTACACAAATCTAAAGCACACGTGCAGAAATAGTACTATGATTTTCAAGCGAGCTGATCAAATTTGAAGCTTGTGTTGACAAGTTTCTTTTATGCCATTTGACCTCATCAGGATGCAGTATGACGCTGTCTTTTGATTTGTAATCCTTCAATGCATTGATACTGGTGATACTAGACTGTATACCAATATATTGAAATTCGATTCTGTACCCAATCAGCCATTGCTAGGTAGAGTTTGTCCAGATCAGTCAAAAAGTCAGCCTCCTGAAAAAAAAAAATGTGTCATATCCTTCATTCTCTGAATTGAATTTTGGAGAAATCAGGATTCAAAATAGTTTCGGACTGTAGCTGAAACGATGGCCGTAATGAATTTTTTAGCTCGGTTAAGTCTCGTTTTCTAACCGGTCAAAAATTGAAAAAAGTGAACTTATTCTTCTTTCTTCTGCTGATTAAATGTAATTGTATTTTACAAAACAAAAAAATCTACGATTTAAGGAATTTGACGCTGTTTGTTCGAGAATAAGAGTCTGCCTGGCGGTCAACATGACCAGCGAATGAAGCTTTGGTCGGTCAAGATACCCCTTATGGCCGGACGTTACCTGTTGAGCGGCCGTTATATTGAGCCCTGAAATGTACCATACTGCATGGAAACGCTTGAGTCAAGCTTGTGGTCGAAATACTGAAGGTTACCAAAGGAACAAACCCAGTCATATTACTTCCACCCGATGCCATTTGTTCGTCAATTTGTTCGTTTGCTTTCTTTTTTGAATTAATTTTTGCACCTTCCCTGTGTTAAACGTCTCCCTCATCGACCTTCCTCTTCCACGGCCTCGCCTTCATCTCTTCGCGGGCAAATAATATTTTTGATTAAAGAACCTGGGTAAGGTCCCTCCTTGGTGGTGTTCGAGGCTTTATTTTCAAATCTCTCACGATTCTTGCATAAATACTAACCTTTAAATTGATGAAACTGAGAACTTTGATTTTGTTCCACGCTTATGAAAAAAGAGATTTCTGAGAAAAGATATGCTCAGGAAGAGATTTCCCCAAGAAAACTGAAAAGCCCTGTGGACCTTGTTGAATAGGCTATTT